TAGATAGATAGATAGATAGATAGATAGATAGATAGATAGATAGATAGATAGATAGATAGATAGATAGATAGATATTGAACTGGCAGACCTAGCTTTTTTCTGACTTTTAGAGGTCATGGAGAAAGTGTAGTGGAATTTCCAGTAGTCTTCCCTTTTTAAGACTGGAGCTTCCTGTTTTCAGAAGGGGAAATCTAAAATATCATTTTTTTTGTCCCAGGAATCACAATCCACCTTATAATAACCAATATGCATTCCTTCAAACCAGTATTTTTCACAGAGCATGGTGGTTCACATGGTTAGGATGCTGGGTTGGAGGTTAGCAAGCTTGCATTCAAGGCCTGTGTGTTGCTACATCATGGGGTGAGCTCCTGTCATTTGCTCCAGCTCCTTGACGGACATGAAAGGTGCCCTCAGGGCCATACCCAAACAAACTTTTAATCATTTCAAACCCGGAAGTACCTTAAATGGTGCCTCCAACACAACAGGAGTGTTTCTCAACCTCAGCAACTTTTAAGATTTCAGTTCCCAGAATTCCCCAGCCAGGATTGGGGAAACAGAACTTAAAAGTCATTGAGATTGAGAAACACTATTTTACAGACCAGTCCGTTGAATTGACCTCCAGGTAGTACTTATTCATAGTTGTAACCTGGGCTGCTAAGCTACAATAAGGAATTGCTTGAAGGCAACACTTATTTACAAAATATACATGGAGTTTATTTTTGTTCAGCATTGAAGCAAACCTAAAAATATCAATGAATTTAATGGTTTTCTATTTTTTATTTACAATTTCAATTTGTATACCTACCCACTTGCAAATGACTTGGGGGTAAGCTTAACAAAAGTTAAAAACAATAGAAGGAACCAATTAAAACAATAGGAACTGTTGTGTTGGAGAAAGTGAAATCACAATAATTCAGCAGTTGGTTTATAAAAAAAGGTTCAAAGTAGTTGGCTTACAAAAAAAAAAATCACTCTTGAAGATTCTCTTAAAGGTAGGCAGGTTGTGACTCTTTAGACCTGAGGTGTAAAACTCAAGGCCCGGGGACTGGATCTGCCCCGCGGGGTGCTTAGATCTGACCTGTGGGCCCATCCTGTAAACTGTGAAGAATCAGCCTGCAGTGCCTCTGCCAGTGAAAAGGGAGCTCCGGAGGGCTGCCTGTGGCCCTTGTAGGCTCCGTTTTGGGCCGTGATGGCCTCCTACAACCCTCTGCCAGTGAAAAAGGTCGGGGAGAGGGCTGGCGGAGGGCTGCAGGAGGCCATCGCAGCCAAAAACGGAGCCTGAGAGGGCCATCGTGGTCAAAGAGTGGCCAACTCGATATCACTCAATGAGTTACATCAAGCTGGCCATGCCCACCCTAGCCACACACGCCCAGCTCCCCTCAGCTCAAACACAACACTGATGAGGCCCTCAAGGAAATCGAGTTTGACGCCCCTGTTTTAGACTGTCGGCAGATGTGGGGAGATAGGGAAGAGAAATTGTGGTG